AGAGAGCGAGGTTCCCGTTACAATACAATAAATTTTCTGTGTTGAATATTCTATTGCTCACTAACCAATCTAGTACAAGATAGAAATCCTAGAGCGTTTACATACAGCCTATAAGAATCATTACATTACCATACTGTGTTACATTTTAAACCCTTAAAAGTCCTTTTTGGACCCCTTCTGCTGAGCTAGTAGGGTCTGCTCTGACCCTTGGACCTGTCTGCAAGCAGAGGGAATTGTTTCATCAAAAGGGGATTACCTTCAGTTGGGCCACACCATTGTTTTCCAGTTGTTCAGAAACTAAGATATCTCAAAGCTTGCTTTCATTTCAATCTCGCTTGTAGTTTCTATATTGTCAAAGTCTTTTCCCAGACAATCATATTTATAAGGCTTTCCTGTCTCATCTTCCCCAACACTTTGGCATTTTTTTATCCCTCAGCCCAGCTGTGTGCTCCAATCCCAGATGCTCTTGAGGATATCTTCACTCTGGCAGAATTTTGCTCAACCCTGAATGCTCTTGGAATGTTAGTCCCTCAGCCCAGCAGGTTTTAATTCTGGATGCTCTTGGGCACTCTTATCCCTCGATCCAGCAGGTTTTTAGGGTCCTCGTTTGTCCCATTTCCTAGTGGATTGGGCTCGGAAACTCCTCTGCTCCCTTCCTCCGAGGGGTCCAGCCCCTCTCTGGGACCCAGCCCCAGTTACCCTGGGGGATTCTCTCACTCCTGTTAACATTCACTTCATCTCTTTCCTGGCCGCTTACCGCGGAAAGTCGGAAACGCAGCGTGGGAGACTCCAGCACTCACTTGGCAGGTCTGGGACAACCAGCCCTCGTCTCATTCACACACATTCATCCCCCTGTACCTGCTCTCCTGAGAAATACTTACCAATCCCTTTTCCTTCCCGGGTTCTTCGTGCACATTACTACTCTTAGGGGGCCAATTACTGCGGTCGTAGGGAGCCCTTTTCCCTTCTCTTTGTTTTATTTTCTCCTTTTGTCCACCATAACCTGAGTCTGTCGGTCACCCCAGGGGAGACAGAGCGAGGCTGCCAACGGGGCAGGGCGCGCCTTCCCCACTCTGACTCTCCTAAAGCACCGGCAGCGAGGTGTTAGTAACCATCCTCTGCTACCAAATTGTGAAAAATGCCAATCACGTGCTTTTAAAATTTGCAAAGTTTAATGGTAATAAAATGGTTATAAAAAATAGTAATAATATTAGAGTAATAACAATTTGGAGAAATCGAATTAGGACAATATGAGACAACAAATACAAAGTTACGGACGTGTGGGTACCTTTTTCTGGGCAGCACAAGCCTGAAAAAGGACACCCGTTAACACAGGATTAACCATTAAAAACAATAGCCTGTTGCATATTCATACACTTCATACATGATGCATAAATTCCATTCAAACACAGGATTCTGTCTGGTCATTGTCAACTTCTTGCTCTGAAACCTAACAGCAGCTTCAAGGCAGGAAGAAGTTATTTCTTCTGACAAGAGACCAATAAATTCTTTTTCCTTGAAAGATTTAGGTGTCCTGTGGCTGCTATCTCGCTGCAAGTCCTTTCTTTAAAATGTCTCATACCAAGCATAGTTTCTATTTTAACATTTTTTAATAACCTAAAACTATATTTAACCCACTACTTAAGAGAATTAATACAGCAGTACTTTCTAACACAAGACATATAATATTCATTTTAATATTTGGGATAACCCAATCACAAAATATGCATTTTTTACAAGTATAATCCCACTTACTTCCAGTCTCTCCCAGTTTGGTCCCAGCTGTCTCCAGCATGGTTCCAGTTGCTTCCTTAATCAACTCAGTGTGTCCCAGTATGATGCCATTTGCTCCCAGTTGCTCCCAGTCAGGCCCAGTATGGGGGATGATGTGCAAGGTGTGCTCACTGTGACACTCAGTTCCTCCCAGTATTAGTCCAGTCCCTCCCAGTATGATCCAAATATGAGCCCAGTGTGCTCCCAGTCTCTGCCAGAATAAACCAGTTTTGCTCTGCATGGTTCCAGTTCCTCTCTTTCACCCTCATTTTCCTTCTAGTCAGTCCCAGTATATCCCAGGGTACCCCAGTTCCCTCTACCATCTTTCCAGTTCCTTCCAGTATGATCCCATTTGCTCCCAAGCACTCCCAGTCAGCCTCAGTGTAGTGGCACTCAATGTCAGTATGATCCTAGCCATCCTCAGCACCATCCCAGTTCATCCCAGTATATCCCATTTACCCCTAACATGGTCTCAATTGCCCCCCCCAGGCTCCTGCTCACTCCCAGTGTGATCTCAGCATGATCCCAGTATGATGGCATCATGGAGTCAGTACAAACTCAGTACAATCCCAGTATGATGCCAATAGGATGTCAATAGAAAGCCAGTAAAGTCCCAGTTGCTCCCAGTATGATCCCAGAATGATCCCAGTGTCCATCAGTGCGATCACAGTCTGCCCTGGCATGGCAATATGATCCCAGAATAATGTCAGTACAAACCCAGTACAGTCCCATCATGATCCCAGTACGATCCCAGTATGATGTCAGTACAAACCCAGTATGATCCCAGTATGATATCTGTACAAGCCCAGTACAGTCCCAGTCACTCCCAGTACGATCCCAGTCCAGCCCAGTCCCTGGCAGTGCTGCCACTGCTGGGATCCCCCAGCCCTGTGTGCGTTCCCCCCTGGCGGATATGGCGAGAGGAGCCCCAAGGGCTGGCAGTGGCCAGGCAGGGTCCCCAGCAAGGCCCAGTTTGGATGTGCAGCCCCCAGTTTGCCCAGTTTGCCTCTCCTTTGGCCCGGGCCGGGTTCCCCCCGCCCGCAGTGGCTGGGAGCAGCCGAGAGCCCCGCGCTGCCCATCCTGACCTGTCCCAGCTCCATCCCCGCTCCTGCTGCGGGCTGCGAGGGCTGCGGGAAAGGGGCACCGAGGGTGTGGCTGCTGCTGGGGGAGGAGGAGGAGGGAGGGAAGGGCAGGGATGGAGGGGGAGGAGGACGTGGGGTTAGGGAGGAGGAGCAGGGGGAGGGATGGAAGAGGAGGGATGAAGGCGGAGAGAGAGCAGCGATGAAAGAGGCGAAGGAGGTGGGAATAAGACAGAGAGGGCGGACGAGTGCAGGGGATGGAAGGGGAGAGGAGTGGGAGGAAGAGGAGGGACAAAGGCAGATCGAGGCTGAGCTGGGGTAGGGAACCACGCAGTCGATCCCTGCCTGAATTCGCAGCCCCCACCTGTGGGATCCTCATCCCCCCAATCGCGCCGGTGAGCGGGGAGGGGGAGCTCGGCCCGGATATCCTGGGGGGTCCCTGGGTTGGGGTTTTTGGGGGGATGTTTGGAGAATGAAGAAGTCCAAGGCTGAGCAGGAAAGGCCCCTTGGGGGGACATCGGGGGGTGGCGGTGGCGGCTGCCGGCAGAGGCAGCCTGGAGGAGCAGAGCCCTGTGTCCCCCAGGAGCCCAAAGTGGGGAGCCCAGAGAGGGGGGAGCGGCACCATTGGCGGGAGCCTCAAGAGCCTGGAGAGGGGCAGGGGGGACTCCTTGGAGCCGCTGCAGCCCAGAGCAGAGAATGAGGGGAGAAGGGAGCCCGGGAGCCCAAACAGCCCCTGGATCCCGAAATGGGGAGAGTGAAGCGGGGGGAGCTTTTGGCATTGCTGGGACTGCCAGCAGCCTGCACAGGGCAGGCACCGAGGAGAAGGGGGACCCCCAATCCAAGCGTGACCCCCAGCAGCTGGGACAGGGGGAACCCCCGAACACTAAGGGGAGGGGCCAGGGATGGGGAACCCCTGGGAGGCTTTTTCCGGGCTGAATCGTGGTGTTTGGGAGGTTTTTCGGGAGCCCAGAGTGCCAGTGACTTGTAGAGATGGACTTGGGCAGAGGCACTTTCAAACTCACCGTGCTCATCCCTTGTTTTCCCCAAACCAGGATTTCCCATTGCCAGCTCCTGGGAGGCTGCGAGGAAGAGGAAGATGCCCCAGGACAATGAGGCAGGTGAGGAGGAAGTCAGTGTCTCTTGAATGCTTAAAATCAGATGGTTTTGGGAAAGCTGCGAAAGACAAGCCTCAGACACATTAGAACTGATTTGAGCTTTGCAGCAGCCAATAGAAAAATTGTATAAGAAGTAGAAAGTAAGGAGAAATAGAACAATGGTCTGTGCATTAACACTTATCTAGAATAACTCCCTAACCTGCGGAAAAGTATATCTAGCAAGATATTAGGAAGATTCAAGCTTAATAATGGAGCTCTGTGCATTGTTTTTTAAGGCTTACAAGCAGGTATTGTACTTGAAATAAGCAAGCATTGTTTTAACCCTCAATGTGCTTATAGTGCTTGGATGGGACTACTGTCAATATGCTTTTGCTTTGTGTGATTGGCCAAAAACCTTTTAAAGTAAGTTTTAACATGAAGTCCTTTGTCTGCTACCTGGGAAGTGAGCTACTGGCATCTTCCCATGGTCATAACCAAATAATGAGGCAGATGGTTGGAAAATCACACAGCTCAGGACGCATTCCCAGCAGTGCAGTCCTCTTTGTGATTTGCGCACAGCCCCGAACTGGTGATGAGTGCCCCTTTCCCCTCTGTGCTGCTCCATCTCCCAGCCCAGCACGGCCCCGGCTGCAGCTCAGCCCTGGGGGGATCTCCTTGCCCTTGCCTGTGGCACGGAGGCAAATCCCATCCTGTCCTTGTCCTTCCTCCCCCAGAGCAGGAGCTGAGCATGGAGAGCAGGGAGGACAAATGCCCGCGGCAGAACCTGGTGGAAGAGGCCGTTTTGAGCGGCTCCACGGCACAGGAAGCCAACGGGGAGGAAAAGCCCCGGAGATGCCGCACGAGGAGGGGCTGCAAACGCAGCCGGCGGGGATCTGAGGGGGAAAGAGCCAGCCTGGGCCGGGAAGGTGGCCGGAGACGGAGCCAGAGCTCGGAGCTGGTGCTCCATGAGCAGCTCCATGATGGGGAGAAGCCACACACATGCGTGGAGTGTGGGAAGAGCTTCAGGTGGAACTGCCACCTGATTGTGCACCAGAGGATCCACACTGGGGAGAAGCCCTACGAGTGTGGGGAGTGTGGGAGGAGCTTCAGCATGAGCTCCCACCTTATCAGCCACCAGAGGATCCACACTGGAGAAAGGCCGTACAAGTGTTCCCAGTGTGGGATGTGCTTCAGCCGGAGCTCCATCCTGATCACGCACAAGAGGACCCACACTGGGGAGAGGCCCTACGAGTGTTCCAAGTGTGGGAAGGGGTTTCTGACCAGCTCCGATCTCCTCCGGCACTATCTGAGTCACAGAGAGGAGAGGTCCTTCCAATGCCCCGACTGCGGGAAGGGATTCAAGCACAACTCCACCCTCATCAGGCACCGGTGCATCCACACTGGGGAGAGGCCCTACGAGTGTGATAAATGCAGGAAGAGGTTTCAGAACAGCTCCTATCTCCTCCTGCACTATCGGATTCACACAGAGGAGAGGCCCTTCCGCTGCCCCGACTGCGGGAAGGGATTCAAGCAGAACTCCCACCTCATCACTCACCGGCGCCTCCACACTGGGGAGAGGCCCTACGAGTGTCCCCAGTGTGGGAAGAGCTTCTCACAGAGCTCTCACTTGACCCAACACCAACGGAGGCACCACTAAGGGAAGCCCTGTGAGTGCCCCGAGTGCGGGCAGAGCTTCGTGCGCTGCTCCAGCTCCATCCCCCACTGGAGGAGGCACTTTGGGCACAGCCCTGGTCACTCACATTCCCTGTGATCCATGTTGGGAACACACCTGGCTGCTTTGCCTTTTGGTTTGGCCTCTGCTTCACCTTCATCCTTTAAGAACACCCAAAACTGGGTTAAATGAAGGAAATTCATTGAATATATCTGACGTTGCATAATTTCTCAGTTGTTTTAGAGGGAATTTAGGATTTGGGGACACGTTCTGTGTGGAGTGCTGCTGTTGCTAAGAGGCAGGAATTTGATCTCACCCTTTTTGTGTTGCTAAGAACTCCTCCCCTGACCCCAACCCCAATTCCAGCCTTGGCACGCCCTATAAAAACTCCATGGCCCTTCCTGTGCCCTGTCTTTGGGGGTTAAGAAATGGATTCCCAAAGGATCAGCCCTATTCCTACTGGATTCCAAAGGATCAGCCTCATTCTCCACTGGATTCCTAGAGGACAAAGCTTTTCCCAGTGGATTCCCAGAGGATAAGCCCTTTCCCCACTGGATTCTTAGAGGATTAGCCTTTTTCTGACTAGATTCCAAAAATTTCAGCTTCTCCCACTGGATTCCCTGAGGATAAATATTTGCCCACTGGATTCCCGGAGGATCAGCCTTTTTCACTGGATTCCCAGAGGATTCTGACTGTGTCACTGGGTTTTTTTTGTTTGTACTACTGCATTTGTATTTTTAATTTTTCGTAATAAAGAACTGTTATTTCTACTCCCATATCTTTGCCTGAGAACCCCTTAATTTCAAAATTAATTAATGTAATCATCATCATCATCATCATCAAAGAGAGGGGGTTTACATTTTCTATTTCAGTGGAGACTCCTGAAATAGGGAGACACCCCCAAGGCTGGGCCATGTAAAATAGTTCCTGAAAGATGTAGATTAGTTTATGGATATGGATGAGGGTCTATGAATATGCAACAGGCTGATGTAGTTAAACCAGATTAATTAAGGGGTGTCCCTGAAAATAACTGGGGGGTCTTGGTGGCCATAACAACCTTTGCTTTACGGTCCTTTTCTCCCATTACATCAGCCTGTTACATATTAATAGGCTTTTCGCGTATCCATAAACTACTTTACATATTCCAGGAACAAAATTGGCTTCATCCTGTTTGGGGGTCCCATCCCCCTCCCAGCTCAATTTTGGGGTCCCGCCCCCCTCTTTTCCCTGCTCTCCCTCCCCTTTCCAATCGTTCCCCCAGTCCCCTTCCCCGTGTTTGGTTTTGGGGGCTCCAGGCCCTTCCTGCTCCGTTTTAGGGTCCCGACCCCATTTTGGATTAATTTGGGGTCCCCAGCCCATCGCCAGGATCCCCTTCCCCCCCCCACCAAATTCCGCTCCTGGCAACTGATGAGTCATCAGCGAGACACGCTCTGATTGGCTGGAAATTGCACCCTTCCCCTTCCCCCGCGATCTCTTAATATTTACCGCAGTGAAAGGCCTTAGTGTGTACCGGGCAACTGATGAGTCAGAGTCGGGCCGGGCGCTGATTGGCTGAAAATCACTGATCGGGGCCAGTGCTCTGAGTTTGTGCCCAGCAAGTGGATCGTCATCAGTGCCGCGCGTTCTGATTGGTCGGGATCTGTTTATGGGTGGGGACCGGAGGAACTGGGGTTTCTTGGAGTTTCTTTGGGTTAATTTAGGGTTTGTTTGGGGTTTATTTGGGGCTATTTATGGACTAATTGGGGTTTCTCTTGGGTTTTGCTTGATTTATTTCTTTTTATTTGGTGTTATTTGGAATTATTTGAGTTTATTTGGAAGTATTTTGGTTTGTTTGGGTTTATTTGGGCTTCTTTGGGATTATTTGGGGTTCTTGGGAGTTATGTTGGTGTACATGGGGTTTTTTTAGGTGTACTGGAAATCATTTGGGGGTCTTTGAGTTTAATTTGGTTGTTTTTGTTTTTTTGGGTTTTTTTTTTTTTTTTTGGGGGGGTTATTTGGGGCATTTTCAGGTATTTGGGTTTTTTTGGGTGTTCTTTGGGGCTTATTTCGAGTGTTTTGGGGTTATTTAGGTTATTTGGGGTCATGTGTGGTCAAAAAACCCGGGAATGTTTCTCCTGTAAAAAAACGGGAATTTTTCGTGAAAAATCTGAGAGTTTTTCCACAAAAAACCGGGAAAGTCCTTTAAAAAATCCCAGACTTTTCCCAGCCAATAGCAGCGCGCCCCACCCCAAACCATCCAATCACCACGCTTCATCTCCCAAACCAACGAATCATGGCGCACCCCACCCCAAACCAACCAATCACCGCGGGTATTCCCTCAGGAACACCGGTCTTACCGTGCGCGGATCCAACCAATCACCGCACGCCTCCCCACCGCCCGCCTCTCGCGCGCCGAATTAACCAATCACCGCAGGTCTCCCCTCAGCTACTCCCGCCTCTCTCGAGCTTAACCAACCAATCACCGCGCGCCTCCCCTCGGCAAAGCCCACCTCCCTCGCCCCTCTCCTGTCAATCACCGCGCCCTCTATCACACCAAGCACTCACTGGGCGTCTCACCTCAGCAACTCCCGCCCTCCCCGCCCCTCCTCAACCAATCGGAGCCGAGCCCAAAGCAGCGCCCCCTGACCACCGGCTGGGTATGGAGCGGGCGCCCCCTCCCCCCGCTCCCCCGAGACCCCCTCAGGGACCCCCGAGAGCCGCCCCGGGCTCGAGCGGGTCCTGCGGGAGGCGCTGGAGAGAGCGGGGGAGGCGCTGGGAGAGGACGGGGGGCTCCGGGAGCTGCTGAGGAGGCGCAGGGACAGGTGAGGGGTCCTGGAGGGGTCGTGAGGGGAATTTAGGGAGGGGTCTTGAGGATGTTTGGGGGGGGATTTGGGGAGGGTCTGGGGGGAACTTGAGGGGGTTTTAGCAGGGTCTGGGGGTGCTGGGGGGGAATCTGGGGAGGGGTCCTCGGGGGGTGTCAAAATCCGTCCTCACGGACGGGTTTTGTGATGGTTCATGGATTTGATCTCAGGGTGCAAAAAGAACCGACACGGTACAAGGGGGTTTGCAATGATAATCGAAACAAATGCACCTTTACTGAATGAGCACAGCAAAATGCGATAGAGGGATTAAGGGAGAGAAAAAGACAGGGGGAAGAGAGAGGGAATAGGGCTGCCAAATGTAGAGACAAAGTCCTTTGGTCCAGTCCAGTCGAGGACCCGCCTGTTGCGTCGGGGAGATCTCGAAGTCTCGCTAACTCAGAGGTTTTTATTATGATAACTCTATTGGAAATTGCGCGGGGGGGGATACAGATACAATAAGGAATAGATGTAACAGGTAGTCCATGCTCTCAGCAGTAATCGAGAGCAATTGTCTTCTTGGTCCAGCGGTCACAACCTGCAGGCAAACATCTCGCTTTGGCCAGCTTGCCTCCCCCACACACCTGCCCCAGGCTGGGGGTTTCAGTCCCTGTCCTTGGAAGGAGCAGAGGGGCCTTTTCACATGGGGGTTCCATGTCTCAGTCCTTGATGGAGAGGCTCCTTCCATCTCAGTCTGTCTGTCACGGTGGTTGTAAAACAGGTGAGGGTCTTCTGTGGGGGGACCACCTGAAACTCAGGAGAAGTCCAGCCAGGCCAAGAGGTGGGACAGCTCCCAAGGCTGTTGTTGCGAAAAGGGCACGGTGCCCCGTTCTTCTCCTTGGGCTCAGTGTAGCATACAGCAAACAACACCTGTGAGAAAAATGGCTTAGCAATGCTCTCAGATCTAGGGCGTTGTTGGCGTGTGACTTTCTCCTTTGGAGCCAGAGATTTAAGACAGGGGTGGTCTTTTCTTAGTGGTCCCCCAATGACGATCCTGAGGCAGACGAGGGAAAATTCGGAACCGACTCTTACACCAATATAAAATTATTTTTTAAATTATATAAATTTAAGTTGTATGGTGTTTTCATAAAATAAAATAACATTTTATTAAAATTAAAAACTATTATTTTAAATTAATTAGCTATGCTTAACAAGGGTTGAGCTCTCCCTCCCTGCTCAGTGCAGGATGTAGGGAGGGGGCAATGCTGATGGGGCCGGGGGGGCTGCAGCTCTGGGGGCATGGAAAAACGGCAAGGTTCTGGTGCTGCTGCTCTTCTTCCTCCTCTTCTTCTTCTTTCCAGTTCCTCCTTCCCTCACCTCCTCCTCATTTCTTATCCTGCCTCCTTCTCCTCCTCTCTCCGGCCTTTCTCCTGATCCTTCCTCTTCCTCTTCCTCTTCCTCTTCCTCTTCCTCTTCCTCTTCCTCTTCCTCCTCCTCCTCCTCCTCCACATCCTCTTCCCGCTCCCCCCGGGCCCAGCCCCCACCCTTTGTCCCCCTCCCTCTTTCCACACCCCTCCCCACCGCCCCCCAATAAACGGCCCCGGGCCCAACTGGGAAGCTTTACTGGGAGCACTGGGAGCAGGCACTGGACGGGGGCAGAGCGCCAGCGGGGCTGGGGGGGACACGGGACCCCCCCAAAATCAGCGGAGCGGGGACGGAGCGGGGGATCCCGGCCGGGCCCGAGCCCACGGGGAGGGGCTGCGGCCGCAGCCGGCTCAGGAGCTCTGTGGGCACAGAAAAGGGGGTGACACCGGGCTGGGGGCCCCGGCGGGAGCGCACACGCTCCGCCACGGCGGGGACGCCACCCCCGGCACCCGCCCTGACCTTCTTGCGCAGGGAGAAGCCGAGCCCCAGCGCCAGGAAGCCCCCGATGCCCGTCAGCATCTTGCTGCGGGCGGCGTCCGGCGGCATCTCTGGGGAGTCCGCAGGGCTCAGCACCCCCAAAACCTCTCACCGACACCCCGAGCCCCTCCCAGCGCCCTCCCTGTCGCCCCCAGCCCAGCCAGGAACCACTGAAACCTCCCCCCGATCCCTTTTTGTCCTGCCCAGGAGCCACCAAAGCCCCTCCCGTCCCTCTCAGCATCCCACAGCCCCCTCCCAGTTGCCCCCAGGACCCCCAAAGCCTCTCGCAGTCCCTT